CTATCCAATGATTGAGTTACACATCGAGAAATCGGTTACCAACTTACATATCTATTTCCAAATACTTTGAACGTATTTTGAATAGCATAACAAATTTTGTTTTACTACAACTTAAACCTTTTTTTAAGTACTCCTTTAATGACCCCTTTGTATATACTCACCTAAACTTCAATTAATAAATGCCACAATTCTGTGAAAAGTGTTACATTTAATATGAAATCTAAAAAGCTTGAAAATAATTTTAACCTCCTACACAATGATAATGAAAGTTTTTCCAAACGTCCTTAGCACAATAACTTGAATTTGGTTTTATTGTTTGTTACTGTTTCATTTATTGTGGTATTAAAATAATAATAAGAACAACAACAACAAAAAAGTAGCAACAAAATCTGTCTGCAATTAAAAAACAAGCATCGTCTAATTGTGCAACATTTTGTTTCTATTTATTTATACTTTTTTACGTTTTTTTTTCGTTTGTTCGTTAACAAATGCTAAACAATGGGGCAGAATAAAAGAGCACACATTTACAATTAATTGCCAGCGCAACTAAACATAAAATATTGTTGCAACAATTGTTAACAATTGTTGGTTTAAGTACTATAATATAAAATAAACACATACATTTAGACATGTAAATATTTAAACAATACTTACTGCACACAAACCTACATATTTTTAGACATATTTAATCGCAGCATTTTGTTGCACATTTAATTGTTGTCAGTTGTGTTGGTTGACGTGTTGAATTGTACAGAATTTTATATAATTTTTTTTTTTAATACATTCGCGTATATGAGCCGTAAATTGTTTACAGATTGAGTTTTTTTCCAATGATTCTCCTATAGGAGAATCATTATGATTGTTGCAGGGATAAACATACTAACGAATACTTTATGAAACAATTGTTTATTTATGTATGAATTTAAATATTTGTGCTTACATATGTACATGTGTAAGAAGTTGTAATAATTTCCATGTTTAAATAATGATTCAGAATAATAATTTGCAATAATTTCCTCACGTGGGAAATTTTTTTTATTACGAGCATTATACATCTATTAGCGATGTTTGTAAAACGACATACTACATAATAATGCAGATTGACATCATCAGTATCACCTTCTGGTAAAAATTTAAATCACGAATCAAACTCTAATCGAGTTTTAAGGCTCTCACAGAACCTTATATCCGAAAATCACATAATCGTAAATAACTCTATTCATGATATCGGTATAATAATCGGCACTTATATATATGTATGCATGCTGTATTGACATAAGCAAATCATTCTGTGAAATACCCATATAAGGTCCACCACTGAAAATCAGTTAAAAACACATACATACATACATACATACATACATATGTATTATTCGAAATAGTTTAAAATAGCGCTCCAAATTGCTTTAAATCAAATTAATTATAAATGTGCTCACTTACATTTCGATGTTCATGGGGATGCAAGTTCCATTAACACCAAAGATTCTGATCACTGCCATGGATTTATAGTACTAACGATATCTGAACATTGTGCCATTGAACAAATTATCAAGTTTTTAGATTAAAAATTGAAGTAATTTTATAGCGAGTTTTTATACCCTCCATCACCATCAGTGGTGATAGAGGGTATATATACATAAGTTTGTCATTTCGTGTGTAACACTAAGAAATATTCATCTGAAATCCAACAAAGTATATATATTTCGGATCCTTATCAAATTCTGAGTCGATTTAGCTATGTCCGTCTGTCTGTCTGCCTAAAACACGCTCACGCTCTGCCTAAAACACGCTCACTTTAAAGCAAAATAAATAAACCAAATTCACCAAAAGTATTAAATGTTGTCCTAAGCAGTTTTAGTTTTGAAAATCAGCAAAGGTTATGAGTAAAAATTGCAGACTATCTCGAAAAAAATAATTTTTTTTTTAAATTCTTAAGTCGTTTTCTCAGAAACTTCAAAAGGCAATTCAATGAATTTTGTCACACGTTATTTTTTACCCAGGGATCATTTATGTTGAAAATCAAAACAATCGATCTAAAATTTCCCATAGCCCCTATACTAAGGTACATACATATATCTGGAAATGGATTTATCGTTAATAACTTCATCAAAAATATCGATATCAACTCAAAATTTTGCGCATATAAATATAATATGAACAGAAATCACATAGCTCCCATATAAGGCCCACTTCTGAAAATCACTCAATCGCGCATTTTTCACTGATAAATAAAGTTAGAGATAAAATTCGACATGAATATGTTGTGTGTATATATAAATCACTTTACAAATTTTTTTCCGAAACGGTCCATAATTGGTCATAACTCCCATATAAGGTCTACTTCCGAAAATCACTTAAACGCTCATATTCCCTTGATATATAAAGCTATCGCGATAAAATTCGGCACAAATATGCTTTGTGTATGTATCAATTACTCTACGAATTTTTTTCTGGCTAGGCCCGTAATTGCTCATAGCTCTCATATAAGGTCAACTTCCACTTAAACGCACATAATTTGTTAACTAATAAAGGTATAGACGTGAATATGTTTTGTATATATATAAATCATTATGCGAAAATTTTCCCGGATCGGTTCATAATTATTCACAACTCCCAATAAGGATCATTTCCGAAAATAACTTAAATGAACAATTTCATTGACAACAAGTAAGAATTTATAGTCGGGCATATGATACCCTACACCAGTGATTATGTTACAAATTTTGATTATTTTTTTAATAATAAAGTATTTAATTAAATTTTTATCTTAATTCAGAAATATTTTAACAATTTTTTGACAAAAAAGTGATTTTCTGAAGGAGGTGTTAAATGGGGGCAGAGGGTTAATATGGTCCTATCCTTATACATTTTGGTAGAAAGATTTACGCCTATATATATGTATATCATCGTATATTAGTGTTTATAAGTGAATTTTGACCATTAAGTCATTTTCTGATGGGGACTTAGTATGGGGGATAGGATCAAATGAGGCTCGATCGTTACAAAAATTAGTAGTATCATTAAGACTTGTATGAAACTACGTTTTGTCGATTTTTAGAGTAATACAAGGATATTTAACATATTTATAAACTCAAAAGCCCTATTCGGTGGGTACGGTTGTATGGGAGCTATACGAAATAATGAACCGATTTTAACCAATAGGCTTCGTCCTTGGGTCAAAGTGCCAAATTTCATCTAATTATCTTGAAAATTGCGACCTGTAGAGTGCGCACAAGGTTTACATGGACACACAGACGGGCGGACAGACGGACATAGCAAAATCGACTCAGAAAGTGATTAAGGTGGGTGTAGGACCAATATTTTAGGGTGTAGGATATAATAAAAGTTATCATGATAAAATTCAACTTGAATATGTTTTGTGTATATATAAATCAGTATGTGGAATTTTTTCCGGATCCGTCCATAAATAGTCATAACCCCATATAAGGTTTAATTCGTAAAATCACTTATAATCGGATAAAATTCGACATGAGCATATTCTGTATATAGATAAATCATTATGCTAAAATATTTTCCAATTGATCCATTATCGTAGCACCCATATAAGGCCACCAACATCGTTTAAAAAGTCCATATCCGAAAATCACATCAAAATAAGTTCCATGCATGCATAAAAAATTAATAAATGATAGTACCATAACTATGAAAACAAAACTAGACAGTTTGGGTTTTAATAAAAAGTAGCTTGTTGGTGGAGGGTATTTATGATACGGCATGGCCGAATATAGCACTCTAACTTGTAAATAATAATATGTTCTTCTCCGTGAATACGTTGTATATGTTTTTCCATAAGATTTTCTTTGACTTATTTTTATAATTAAGCGATTGTAGAAAGTACTTGCTTTTAATGACATCTCCATGTTAAAATAATGACTTGAATTCCCCGATATTTTGTAAATAAGATTATGAAATTTTATTTAGCCTATTAATTTCGTGATTTTCGTTTTATTTCAACGATTTTGTTAATCGGCTATACCGAATCTTATCTACCCCGAAATACACCCATATAAACATCAGACTGATATTTGGAATAGAGCTTAAGTCAATTATGGCCCGAGATTCTTTGAATTAACAAAATATTAGTTTAAAAGAAATAATTTTCGTCCCATTTTTATAACCATAAACAGGTTTTCTGTAAGGGGGTTATATTAAGGTTGTGCACAGTTATGGACCGATCTTTATAATTGTTGTAGATCTATTACGGTTCAAACAAAACTTGTTTAAGTATAATTTCATCACTGTACTCGTATTTCTAAGTAATGAGTGTTAAAATAATTTTCTGAAGGGGATTTTATATGGCGGATAAGGTAAATTATGGACCTATTATCATAAAACTACAGCCATTTTAGCTCATACAAATTTTGTTTATGTGGAATTTTATCGCTGTACTCGTATTTTAAGGCCAGTTGTTATCATTAAGGTATTTTTCTGAAGGAAACTCTTTGTGGGGGGAGGTGTAGGTTCAGGGCTAGGTGAAATAATGGATCGATTTGGGACTCTAATATAAATATCGTTTCTTTACAAAATACATAATGAAATTTCCGAATTAAAACATTTTTAAAGTTTTCGGTTTATAAGCAATTATATTTTTTTTTTTTATTATTTTTTATGTTTTCTTTTCATTATAATAGTAATAATTATATTATTAACATTTTTGTTTATTTCTCTTATTACTTATTAATACATAATAATTTAACTAATAAAAAAAAGATATCTATGCTTAATACATATAAATAATCTAATATTAAACTTTTGAAAAATTTACAACTTATATTTAATAGAAAAAACTAAAAATAACTTATATCACTATAAAGTTATTAAATATTTTTATACATATGTATACGAAAAATACTTATAACATAAAAGTTAAAATAAGTTTTATTTTTTCTGAAGATTTTATTATAAATTTACATGTTTCGTATATTGTATTTAACATACTAAATATTGAGCAATTAGACATATACAAAAGTTTCGTAAGTATTTGATAATTTTTCGTTTTGAATAATATTTTTACATCATTGACTTAAGGTTAATAAATAGGTGAAGAATATTTACAGAAATTAAATAGGAACAATTAATATGGTTGATATTTTTTTTTTTTTTTTTTGGTTTTTTTATATATAAATTTTATAGGATTTTTTACAATATGTGATAATTATAATTCTTTCGTTTTTATGAAACCAATTCCTTTATTTTGGATTTTTTTTTTTAAATGTTAAAATTTATTTATTTAAATTTATTTCCTAATATTTTTTACAGTGTATATGACTTTCATAAATCTCTTTTTGTTTTTGTTTATGACCAGAATTTGTGTTCTCAATAAATTTTATGATTTTTTATTTGTTCTGCCATATTGTTATGATTCAAATTGCCATTCAGTTTTCCTTCTTCTCCGCCAGCTATTCCTCCCATTGAGGCCTTATGCACACCATTAACCTGCCTTTCCAATGCCAGCTGATGCTGAGTTTTTGGTATAAGCAATTCAGTTGTCTGTGCGCTCTGAGCGGTAGGAGTTGTAGAGTGACCATTTGTCTGAGAAAACTTTCCCGTCATCATTTCCTCTATATTAGCACTTTGAGAGTTCTGTTGTTGTTGTTGTTCCTCATCCTCATTTTCCACATCTATGGCCGTATCATCGGCCTCAGACTCATCGTGTGAATGTTGAGAGAGTGGTGTTAATGCTGCTGCCAAAGTGGAATGGTGGGCAGCATGATGAAATGGTGATTGCGAAGAGGCACGCATTAGGTGCTGCAAATGATGATGATGGGCATGATGGTGATGAGCATGGTGTGACAAATGAAGATTATGATGAGGTGAGAGTGGCGTTGTGGGTCTACCATATGAAGTTGTGGCTGTTGTAGTTGATGATGACGTTGTTGAAGAGGAGACACCAGCTGCTGCAGCTGCTACGGCGGCCGCAGTTAAGCACCCCACCCCCTATACGAGTGAAGACAATGGTGGCCGAGGTGGGCTGTTGTTGCGTGCGGCGGCAGCAGCATAATATTGCATGGCATGAGGATGTGGAGGTGGTGGTGGCACAAAACCAGATGTCGTACCATCATGATACAAAACGGGCACTCTCACTAAACGTTGGGCAGCATGGGCCATATTTGCCATATTAGCAGCCTCCAGCTCAGCAGCCAATTGTCTTTTCCATTTATTGCGACGATTTTGAAACCATATTTTCACTTGTGTTTCGGTCAAACGCAAAGAAGCCGCCAAACCGGCTCTTTCCGAAGAACTTAAATAGCGTTTCATATCGAATGTGGATTCCAATTGGAAAACTTGAGCTCTAGAGAATACTGTACGGGTTTTTTTCTTACGCTTCGTTTGATTCGAATCGCCTTGAGGTGAAGAACCATCCGAAGGACCATCAGTGCCATCATCTTCTTCAATGATTTCTTCACCCTCATCATCGGATTCATTTGAACTGGTGGGTAGTAAATAGCTAGAGTTGGAGTGTGAGGAATGATGATTGAGACCTGCGCTCGAACTAGTGGGTGTTGAGGGCTGATGGGGTTGTGAGAGATGATGATGATGGTGATTATGATGTTGTTGATAGGATAAATGGGGAGAGGGTGATTTTGTGCCATTATTATTGTTGTTGTTGTTGCTGCTGCTACCATTAGCCAGAGAGCCATTATGTTGGGGGGAAGGTGGTGATGAGGGATTCTCTGTGGTGTTTGTAGAAGAGCTATCTGTAAATAGAGAAAAATATAAATAAATTAATATAAAGTTTTAATTTCAAAATTTTAAATCATTTTCATATTAATAAAATAATTAAATTTCTTTACGAATTTTATTAAAACACTCAATTTCTGCGTAATGACTAAAGCGCTTGTGCCCAGAGCAAATTAATCTCTTTTGTTTTTTAGGACAGAGAGTGAGAGAGAGTAGAGATTTTGGTGGTTGTTTTTATTTCTTTTGTTTTTTTTTTTCAATATTTAGTTTCCTGTAAAGTAGGTGTTTTTTGTGTATGTATAGAGATAACTGTAATAATTGATGTTGTTGTTGTTGTTGCTTTTTTGTTTTTGTTTTTAAAAATGGCGTTTAAGTTAAATCTTTTGTTTTCTCATAACAACGTCATAAATGTCAGCAATTTACAGAAATTATAAGAAAAATTTAACAGGCACTTGACTTTTTTATATACAAAAACACAAACAAACAAAAAAGTAATAATTATACTGAAGACAAAGAGTTAAAAAATACATATACTGCTGGAATATGTGCAAGAAAAGAGGTTTATTGTTTAATTACTTTGGATTTTTTAAGTAAATATGTAATGAAATTGATTTTTAAAAGTTTTTTGAAATAATTTCATCCTTAACTTAGGCTATATTTTGTTAAGCCTAAATATATGCTATGGATTTGTAGAAATTGATTTATAGCAATTACTAAACAAAAACATATTAAAATATTACACACCTTTAGCTCTTATGTACATTAACTAATACAATTTAATTAAATTACCATTGAAACTAAAAATATTTCGCTTTTTTCTTTCATTACACAAGAAATAATAAGCTCTGGAATCCACTTAATCGACAAAATTCTTTTGTTGCTTTATTTAAATTTAGACGATAAACATTTTTAATCTTTTTTCGCAATTAATTACAATTAACAAAATTCCAATAAATTCTCAACGTTATTAAGGTTTCTTGGCAAAAGTGTTTGTCCAAAAGAATGTTGTACAAACGACATTGTTTCTTAAGAAATGAATATTTTTGTTAAGACAAAGAAAAATGTAAACTCTAAAGTCTGTAATTTTCATTGTAATCTTCAAGCCCACCAAAACTATTCGCAAACTTCTTAAATAACTAAAATAATACAAATATGTACAAGCAATTGCAGACAAACACACACGCACATACACTTATACACTTAACTGCTCTAGTAAAATGTTCAATTCAATTAAATGGCCAAAACAATTTGTACAAATAGTTTCATTAAAGGGTATTACATTTCAAAATGGTTTAACGGTTGCAATATAGCACGCATTCCAATAGCTTGGTATGTTTGCATGTATGTATGTATATGTTATTGTATGTATGTATATTTAGCGTTAGTAGGCTGCCATTTAACTAACGGAAGTCATATAAGACGGCTTTTATTGTGAATGTTTGCTTGTCTGTCTGTCGTTAGAGTTTTGCATGTATTGTGTATTTATAGTTGAGTAGCATTTATTTTTGAATTGGTATTTTAGTTGTGGGCTTAAGCCTATTTAATTGGCCTCTTGCATTAAGACCCTACTAAATGCAATTGAATTTGATCATGTAAATTGGCCTTAAGTAACTAGTGAAATATGTATGTAGGTTTTTTTTTTTTGCTGTTGTACATGTAGACATAGTTGTTAACTATTTTATTTAATACTCCCAAGAATGTGTTTATTGTAAGCTTTAGTTAATGCCAGCGCAACGTAAAATATTTTGAATTTTTAGCTAATCGTTTAACAGCTTATTTTACAAAGAAACAATTATTGAGTTGTTGTAACTTTCAAAATTTTTCAAACACTATTTTTGTTAAATTTTTTTATTAAGCAGATTTCCATAATTTGTCTCTTTTCAAGAAACTCAAGAAAAAAGGATTGAATATTCAAATCAATCAGAAGTGTGGTAAGTTCGTCTTTTCTTAAATCAAGTACAAAATACTTGATTCAAGTACGAATCGGTTAAGTACGCAAAACCTAACTAAGCCTTTTTGGATAAAAGTGATCTTATAATAAACCTATTTTGAGTATTTTCACTTTGATTTAAGCTCAAATGCATACTTGTTTTGGATTAAAAAATAATATTAAAGTTTGAATTATTTCCAGCAGCATATTGAAGATGGTCCGTGGTTCTACCGAACCACCATAAAATCGGCCCTTGTCCGTCTGTCTGTCTGTTCGTTCATTTAAAGTCTTTAATCAAACTACAGATCGAAATTTCTAAAATAATTGAATGAAACACACACAGCATATTGAAGATGATCCGTTGTTCCACCGAACCACCATACAATCGGCCCTTGTCCGTCTGTCTGTCCGTTCATGTGAATTTCCCATGAATTTAAATTTTGAGAATTATTGCATGATATTTGATACGTGATCTTTTATTGTACCAGTGACAAAGTATATTGAAAATTGTTCAGGTTGGTCCATTGTTTCGCCGAGCCCCCATAAAATCCGCCCATCTTCGCCTGTCTGTCTGTCTGTCTGTCTGCCTGTCGGACTGTCTATCTGTTCTTTCATGTAAAGCAAACTACAGCTCTAAATTTCTAAAATAATTGAATCAAGTACGCAGCATATTGAAGATGGTCCGTTGTTCCATCCAACCACCATACAATCGGCCCTTGTCCGTCCGTCTGTTTTTCATTTAAAGCTTGGAATCAAATTTCAAGTCGCAATTTTAAGAATTATTGCATGATATTTTATACGTGATCTTTTATTGTACCAGGGACTAAGCATATTGAAAATTGTTCAAGTTGGTCCATTGTTTTACCAAGCCCCAATAAAATTGGCCCATCTTCGCCTGTCTGTATGTCTGTCTGTCTGCCTGTCTGTCTATCTGTTCTTTCATGTAAAGCTTTTAATCAAACTACAGGTCGAAATTTATAAAATAATTGAATCAAGTACGCAGCATATTGAAAATGCTCCGTTGTTCCATCCAACCACCATACAATCGGCCCTTGTCCGTCCGTCTGTTTTTTCATATAAAGCTTGGAATCAATCTTTTACTGCACCAGGGAGGAAGCATATTGAAAATTGTTCAAGTTGGTCCATTGTCCATTGAGCCCCTTCTTCTCTTCTTCTAAAGAAAATTTTTGACAAATTTCCTCTCTTAGAGATTACTTGAGATTATTATTTATGTATATGTAAAGAAGATTTTCGATGAATTTCTTTTTTTACTCCGAGAATATCGTAAAAATCCGTTATTTAAAAAAGTATTTTATAAAGTGTTAACTTACCATGTGTAGGACTATGAAAAGGCATACGTTGTGGTGCCCAGGGCCAACCAGGAGGACACAAGGCAGCATAACGACCAGCTAAAGCTCCCCATTGTGAAATGAAACCCAATCTGCAAAAAAAAAGAAAAAAACAATAACATTTAAAAATCATACAAATCAATAATTTCTTTCTAATAAATACTACACAAACAAAATAATCACAATAAAATTAAACTTAAACTAACCCTTTTTTAAATATGATAACAAAAACTTTTACGCAAACATATTAAAATAAATTGTTGTAAAAGCTTTTTATACAGCAACAGCTTGTTAATATTTATAAGATTTATTTTATACAAAATATAAAAGAAGTTTTTTGCAACAACAACAGCAACAACAACCCTTAAGAAAATCTTATAAAATTGAAACTTCTATCAAACATGTATTCACATTTAACAAGCATTTATCTTAACATGATAAATCAAGGCAAAACAAAAACATTAGCTTCTTAAATTTGTATCTGAAGGGTTGTCTTGTACGTAAATCAGTTTAAAGATAATTTCCAACAGGTACTATTTTCGTTTCATACACTTTTTGGGGGGTTGTTTTTGGGAAATCTTTACTTTCATTCTTGTTAAAAAGCAAAGTTTGATGTTTTGTTTTCTTTTTTTCGTTGACTTAATAAAGCACTTAAGTGATTTGTTTCTTTTCTTACATTTTCTTCCTTCTTCCCTTTCCTCAGATGTTAAATATTAAGATGTTTAATGGATGATTAAGAAGGGTAAAGTATAATGGTTTGTAACGGGAAAATGCTTTTTTTTTGGGAGGGTGGGACGAGGTTGAGGGTGTAGTAAAGGTAATGAAATCCATATTGCTGTAGTTGTATTTTAGGGCGGTGGTTGGGTTGTATAACGGTAATAGTTGTTAATAGGTAGGATATATTTTATACATTTTACTACTTATGTATGTATATGTAAACAGGTAATCATTAGAGGTCAAAGTTTTTTTCGTTTATATTCGGTTTTTTGTTTTTAGAACAAGTTTTCTAAGGGGATTTAGTTGAGATTTTATATCTCCAGACAAAATGTCTGTATACTTAAAAGAAAATTTTGTTTATTTTTTTTTTCTTGGGATATTCTACTTTAAGTCAGAAGTGTTTTTTAAGTTGTTATAATTTGTATTTATAAAACAAAAATACAATCAAATGGTTTTATTTAAGATTTTTATTGATTTTTTTGTTGGTAAAAAATTTTAATAAGATTTAAAAAAGTTTAAGCAAATTTTTGTTTAAATCAGTTTAAGTTTATTTCAAATGAAATTAAAATTTTGTGGCATTTTATTAGAATTTTTGTTACTTTTTATATAAATTGGCAGCAATTTTCTAAACTAGTACAGAAACTTAACAAGAATATAAAATTTTGCTTTTTCGAAAATATTCCTAGAACTTGTTTTTCCATGTATGGAACATGTATGGAAATCAGTTCGTTGCATCAATGGCATTAATCTCTTATACAAATGAAAAGTAAAATTGTTAAAATAAAACTCGAAATTTTTTCGAGACTATTCTAGGAATTAATTCTTTTTTTATATATTTAGTTTTTGTGAATCAGCTGGAGTGATGGAAATTTATACATTATGAACAAATTAAACATTTTTGAGAATATTTCAGAAATGTTTTTTCTAATAAATTAGAAATAAAATTAATAATTTCAACTGTTTCGTGAATATTCCGGGAATGTTTTCAATGAAATGTAAATAGAATGTAAGAAATATAGCATACATTTAGGTGCTTATAAAAAAACTATCTTATATTAATATTAACATCAGGAATGTTATCCAGTTAGAAACTTAATATGCACTGGAATCAATTATAGACCGAGCTGTACAGAATTTAAAAGAGTACAAATGGAAAACTCTAAAACTAAAACTCGAAATTCTTTTGAGACTATTCTAGGAATTATTTTTTTTTTAATTTTTAGTTTTTGTGAATCAGCTGGAATGCTAGAAATTTCAACTTTTTAGAGAATATTCCAGAAATGTTTTTTTCCAATAAATTAGAAATAACATGAACAATTTCAACTGTTTCGGGAATATTCCGGAAAGGTTTTTTAATGAAATATAAATATAATGTACGAAATATAGCATACATTTAGGTGTTTATAAAAAAACTATCTTATATTAATATTAACATCAGAATTGTTTTCGAGATAGGAACTTAATGGACGCTGGAATCTATTATAGACCGAGCTGTACAGAGTTTAAAAGAGTACAAATGGAGAGAATGTGTTTCAATCTATTTTTCGATTCTACTACCAATATTTTGATGCGTTATAATTGTACTGATAACTGCTTCTCCCATTCAAACCATATCATGCTTGCAATAGACATGCCGAAGGACATGACTAGTTCTAGACTCTAATTAGCAGCCACTTTTGTGGGTTTAAGTCATACATTTTCATGTGATCCAAATGATATAATAAAATCAAAAGCTTTAGTTGCTTTAAAGCTCAATTAATAGTGCATTATAATCTATCTTCTTAAAGCCGATTAAATGTAATAATATTTCCCTAAAAAAACGTCTTTCCTTTAAAAAAAAAAAACTCCTCTTTTTTTCATTTTAAACAAAAGAAACCTTATGTTAAACAACATGTATTTTTTAACTACCAGCTAATTTTTCAAAACTCCATAACTCAGTGGTCATAAAGTCCCCCCTTCCCGCCTTAAAAACAAAAACCACAAATAGACCAGTAGAAAAAAGAAACCAACAAAAATAGAGATGGAAAAACCTAAACAATTTATTTAAAAATTCATTGTTTAGGTTACAAAAAAAAAAAAAAAATAACGAAAAATGTAAAAAACATTTTTAAAACAAACTGTAAACTCAAAAACTACCCTTAATAACAAAATAAAAAAAAAATAAATACAAATATTAAAACAACAGCGAACGGGAGCTCTACAGATCTATTTAAAATTGGATACCTTTTACAACAACAACAACAAATTTCAGTCTATTTACATCTACCACATTTCCGCCACAAATGACACCCATTTAACGTTTTACACAAAAAAAAAATTTGTAACAACATTTTACTTTGGGCTAAATTTTTACGTATTTATTACATTTAAGTTCACACAGACATTTATTATTTATTTTCAGTTATTTTTCATTTAGGCTGGAAAAAATATATTACGGCTAAAAATGAAATTAGCCCATTATAATTTTTGAGGTTGGTTTTTTTTCTTTTGGTGTCAGTGAGTGAGGTAGGAAGTTTTTTTTTTCGTTTCAGCACAAAAGTAGCTTTTGTTTTTAACATCTTTTGATTTAAATCTAAAAGGACTTTATATAAACAATTAGCATAAGATGTTGATCTAAATTAAAAGGACATTATTTGTATACAAATTGAGAGCATGGTAAAAAATAAATGAAAACATGATGAACAATGACAGGGGGTCTGTATTGATAAAGAGCTGTTGTTTATTATAAATTAATGTAATTAAGTTTAATTTTTTAAATTTATTTAAAAGGTCTGGTAGATTTTAGGGCTAAAATTTGTTTTAGAATTACATTTAATGGAAGTACCTTATCACTATTTTGAATAACTAGTGTAATTGGTGGTAAGTATTTACCACACTCACTTATAAATAAGGAGTTAAATAAGTCATTACTTGTAACTCAGAATCTAAATCCTATGACAAATCTATATTAAATCCATTGTTTTCGAAGGTCTTTTTCTGTGCTTCCATATAGTTAATTCCACTTCTTATTTGCTTCTATGGAAGTTCTTTCTCGGTATTTAATTAACATGTTTCTTTAAAATTCCTTTTTTAATTATACCCTACACCACTTTAGTGGGAAAGGTTTATTGGATTTGTGTTGATGTTTGTAACGCATAGAATTAATGGTCCTTTAAGTATAGTAATGGGCTCAAAATAAATTTCTGAGTCGATTAAGCCATGTCCGTCTATCCGTCTGTATGTCTGTCTGTTTGTCTGTCTGTCTGTCTGTCTGTCTGTCTGTCTGTCTGTCTGTCTGCCTGTCTGTCTATGAAAAGTTTGTAATCAAACTACAGGTTGCAATTTTGAAGATTATTGGATGAAATTTGGTACACACATTTCCTTTGACCCAAGGACCGTGGCCGTTCACGTCCGACTATACTTTTTTACTTGTTTTATTTTTCCCATATTTTCACACATGTTTTAAATTTCTTAAAGGTTTTATAAATGAACTTATTTTAGTTACTTGGTATTACGGTAATATTTTCACACACCACAAGCAACCCTGCTGTTCATTAACCTTTTGTTAATAACCTTTTAGACTATTGTCAAATGAACCGATTTAAAAACGTCAGTGATTTGTATTTGCATGTCTACGAAAAGTATACTCTATACACTAGACCTCACTAACCTTCTCGCAAAAGCAAACGCTAACCTACTCCACCCCCCGCCCCCCATTACCAACTAACAGACAGTTGTGCCCTTAAGCTGTAAATAAAAAGAATTTAATACATACATACATACACACATATATGTATGTATGCATGTACTTATTGGCTAATTGAAATAAATCTTTATCGCCCCTTTTCCTACCTTTAGTAGTTCAAACTGACCTGTTTTTTTAATTTAATTTAATCAATATATAATTTGATTTGTTTTATTATTTATTTTTTCTTAATTTTATTGTGATTTTTCTTATTTAATTTTGTAAATTAAAGTTATTTTAGTTAAAAAGATTTTGAAAAATATTTCTTATTCTTATTTGTATAAATTGTTTTGGGTTGAGTTGTTGGTTTCTTGTAGGGTTTCTTTTACAAATATCTACTTTATTTTTTACTAGTATCTTTTGTATGAGTTGTTTTTGTTGTTGTCTTTTATGGTTTAATACCAATATTTATTTTTCTTTATTTTTTTGTTAAGCTTTTTAAAAAGTCAATTAGAGAAACAATTTAAGTGTGAAAAATAAAACAAGAACTAAATAAAAAGAATGTTACACCAAACAAAAAAATATAATGTCTAACAAACAATTAAATTAAAAGGAGGTGAGCAAAATGTCATTTAACACTAGATATCCTAAAGGGGGGTCTAAAGGTTACGAATAACGGATTGAGAGATTGAAAATATTCTTACCATTATA